ATGCTAACGTTAGCGTTAGCATTTCTCCCCCGGGCTTAAATGGTGTATTATAGAATGATCACACAGGTGACAGTACTATTCAAAGGGTTCACGAAATATGACTACTACTCTTACTGTTTAACATTTTGGGTTACTTAATGTTACTTCATGTTAAGTCTAATACAAATGACAAGGCTGTAATGCTAACTAACGTGCTAGCTACTAGCTAGGTAGCTAACTTGATCAAGCCACTCCTGGTCCTTTCATCAGACGGGAAGCAAAAGAACGAGCAAGACCCATTGCTGGTATAATAACAACCTGGTACTAAGCACACAGGCATCTTGTTAAAGTTATCTTATCTTAGCCAGCGCCATATAGATAGATTATATCTATATTGCGCTGATCTTAGGTATCTGAATGGTGGAGGAAAACAATTGTGACATCACTTACGCGACTCTGGGATTTGTAGTCTTTCTAGTTACGTATTTTTCATAGTCTTATATTTCAACAGTTTTACGACAAACTGTGACTTTTTTGACATGGAAATTATTTTTTAAGATTGACAAACATCATATGTGTAATTCATGGCACAATTCAAACGGGATCGAAAGATAAGTTTTCTCTCCCCATTGACTTCAATGCATAATTTTTCCGAAATAAGGTCCCATTACCCGGAAGTAAGTGGGCGTGACTTCGCCACTCTATACTGTGTCTGAGGTCGGAAGGTAAACAGAAGCATACAGCGGAAGCGGAAGTTTTTCTTCTTCTTCTCTCGGTTTTTTGGCGAATTGCAACTTTAAGGTGCATACCGCCACCTACTGTACTCGCCGTGAAGTTGTTTGCGGCCTGCCAGTAAACCCAAAGCAGAAGAAGAATAAGTGACGTCAGCGGCTCATTTGCCTAATCCACCCCCAGGAACTCATTTTGGTGTGAACGCGATATGCTTTAGTTCATCAGAACTAAAAGAACTCTCATGAACTAAAGTTCTCATGAACTACTGTGGGAAAAGTACTTGGTGTCAACGCCCCTAATGAAAAACCTCTACAAAAGACCAATATACTACAAAAAGAGAAACGTATTGACATGGTGGAGTGTCCAATAATATCAGTCTCAGGAAGAAAGGCTTTTTAATGCTTATTAAAAATAGCAGAAAAACATGCATTCTTGTACTCAGGAGGGGACATTGACAGAGGATTACTGGAAAAGTACATAGTAAAAGTACTTCATAGTACTTGTGGGAGTAGTTTCACTAGTACTGAGTCCAACAGTGTCAAACTCACAAAGAACTAATGGCAAAAATCATTTTTTCCCTCATCAAACTTAACAGAAGTGGCTTGATTTATAATATTATCACTGTTCCAAGCACACGAGTGCTTTTGTTTTGAAATCACTTCCGTGAGTTTCGCCCCGCCCCTCGCTCCAATGACCATTAGACCATTTAGTAAGGTAAAAAGGAAAAAACAAAAACGTCTCTCAGACGCTCTTCCGTTTACTTGTTTAATAAAGAAAAACAATTGGACGGTAGATACACGGATTGTGTCTTGGCCGTTTTCGTTGTGATCGCTAAATTCCCCTTGTTTATAATAATCACCGTTCCTTCAGCAGGATACTGTAGTGATTCAAAGTGTGATTTTAGCAAACGAGTGCTTTTGTTTTGAAATCACTTCCGTGAGTTTCGCCCCGCCCCTCGCTCCAAGGACCATTTGACCATTTAGGCGTAGGCTCCACGAGGACGAAAACGGGTTGAATCCGCATATTTCTCATGCGTATACCCCTTTAAGCTCGACGACGCCGTAACAGAAACGTAGAAACAGACCCTGCAAACGACAACGGGTCCAAAGGTGGATAGATCTGGGAACGGAGCGCTCTGGGGGGTCCAACGGGGCCGTGGGGTCGCCTATACGGTCATGCGTTTCATAGCCCCGCCTCTCCCCGCCTCTCCCCACCTCTGCTGCTCACCCCCGCAAAAGTACACTGCACACTGAATTCAGATTATTTATCTTTATCTCGATATGAACATAAACGCGAGTGAAGTCTAATCTGACAGGACGGAGACACGCAGCTCCTCTGGCTGTGAAGCAGCGGGAGCAAAACACACACTTCAAGTCAGATCACACCCTTAGCTATTTTAATTACCTCTCAAACTACCTAAACTAGTTATAAATATGTTTATTTTTACTGTCGGGTTTACTTACTGGATCAGCTGCTGCATGAGGAAGCATGAAGATTTAAACTTTAACACACATTGACCGGCGAAAAACTCTGCGCGGTTCCCTCCGCCCCCACCGCAGAGAATAAACAGAAGTGCAGCCATGACAACCATTCTTCTTCGCTGCTTTTGTGGAGGAAGTTGCTGCTTTTGTGGAGGAAGTTACAGCGCCACGTACAGGTTCGGCATATGTACTGCAGCTTTTCCAGCGGTTGGATGTAAACGGAGCCGTCTCGTGGAGCTTGACACAATCCGGTGTATATTGCGTGTGGGCGGAAGGTTTTTTGCGGTTGCATTTGCGTTACTCCGATGCGTTTTGCCGTATGCGTTCCCTTGGAGCCGGGGCCTTAGTAAGGTAAAAAGCAAAAAGCAAAAACGTCTCTCAGACGCTCTTCCGTTTACTTGTTTAATAAAGAAAAACAATTGGACGGTAGATACACGGATTGAAAATGGTAAGAAAAAAAGTAAGACTTGTAAAGGAAAACAAACATTCTCTGTAAGGTTTTAAAAGGACACACTTCATACACAAAAATAAAGACGTAGCCTAGTGTTTAAAACATAATGACTACGTTTCTGAAAATAAAGGCTTAGTATATCTTTCTGTATTATCTATAGGACTAAAGAAATTAGTATATAGATAAATCTAGCATAAACCATCTCTTCTGCTTTTGAGATTAATGTATTTAAATGATAAATTGTTTAATAAAGACATAATAGCCTACTAAAATAAAAGGATCTAGAAATAATGAAATAATATCTCAAAATAGCTAACGCAGGTTCTCAACATAATGACATCGTTTCTCAATATAATGAAAAGCATTCTCATAATAATGACACTTCAACCTTATGATAAGTTCTCTCTAAGTAAAAACATAGGCTTATTATTATGGGCTCAGAACAGTCTCATAATACACACATGCACACACAAGGATTCACACTTGTATTTCATGATCCGCAAAAGGATTCACACTTGTATTTCCGGATCCACACTTGTGTTTGTCAATGCACACACAAATGTGTTCCGTTTCATATACATGTAAATAAAATCCAAATACAGAAAAAAGTTTTACATATGTATTTTTGATCCTCACATATTTGTTTTCCGTTTAAATCCCCTGCACCTACAAACACAAACCGCTTTCTGTGCATGGATCGCTGTGCATTCGTGTGTGGGTTTTTTGAGACTCCCCTGACGGTGACCCGATTCGTACTTGTAATTTTATCTATCTATAGCCAATCAGATGTCTCCTCAATTCTAAGCCAATCACATGAGCGCGCCCCCACGAGGGTAGATTTCTTGCGTTCATGACACTTCATATACGCATTTTGCGCTGTCCGGAGCAGGGTGGACAGAATTTATTTTACCGGACAAATTTGAAACTTACAGGTCATGTTTCAATAATAATAATAATAATAATAAGAAGAATTGTGTAGCAGAGTTTCCGTTAGCAGGTAATTACCGGACTATGACCGGATATGGCTAATAACACGGGAGTAACGGATCCCCTCTTTTCCTCTCTCCCTCCCTCTCTCCTGACAGCCCGTCAGTTTCTCATGCAGCTCGCTAAAACTTCACTCGCGTTTATGTCCATATCGATCAGATCCAGCTCTCCTGTTCGGCCTTTATAGAGAGCACCGATCAAACTATTAAGAGTGAATATCGGCCGATAATGACCGGCGGGGCTCCCCCCGTTGACAGTTCACTGTCTAGCACTGGCTTCGTAGTGCACTGATCGATTAGGCTAAGCTAACCTGTAGCTGCTCCCTCCACACTCACAACAACTTCATACAGACATAAATAAAGCAGCTGTATTCGCCATACAGGAAACACACATTTAAAACGGTTTTGCCTGCCATTTTTGTGTACACAAGCATTCATTAATGGTTCGGAAAGTGGCACTGTACCTTAATAATTTAAAGGCTTGTATTTGCGTGCATTTCATGTTCGGAAAGATGTATTGAGAGTGGAGGTGTCCTGAGATTAGCGCCTGCAGGCAGGCTCCATGGACCTGTCAGCTCCGGACAGCGCAAAATGCATACATGAAGCGCTACGTCATGAACGCAAGAAATCTACCCTCGTGGGGGCGCGCTCATGTGATTGGCTTAGAATTGAGGAGACATCTGATTGGCTATAGATAGAAAAAATTACAAGTACGAATCGGGTGACCGTCAGGGGAGTCTCAAAAAACCCACACACGAATGCACAGCGATCCATGCACAGAAAGCGGTTTTAAACGGAAAACAAATATGTGTGGATCAAAAATACATATGTAAAACTTTTTTCTGTATTTGGATTTTATTTACATGTATATGAAACGGAACACATTTGTGTGTGCATTGACAAACACAAGTGTGGATCCGGAAATACAAGTGTGAATCCTTTTGCGGATCATGAAATACAAGTGTGAATCCTTCTGTGTGCATGTGTGTATTATGAGACTGTTCTGAGCCCATATATTATCACTTATCACTACCTCAAACTCAATCACTTCCTCAAACTCATTGTTACATCTTTGAAGGAATTCGATTCACAAAATGTCTCAAAAGGAAAACAATAAACCTGTTTTCCCTTTATTTTCTGTATTATATATATATTACTATAAAAGTTCATTATTTACGCCCTATAGTGGTAGCTGCTCTGTTCATAGTACAGTTTAGCAGCCCCATTTACAAAAGCAAGGGTTTTTAGAAACCTGATAGATAGTATCAGAAACCACTCCTGGGTTTACAGCCAAAATGGCAATTTCACAAAACTGTGGCTGAGAAAAAAACGTAATACAGCAAATTAAAAGGTCTCTCTTGTTTCTTTCAGTCTACAGGAGCAGGCAGGATGGCTCTCACAATCTCCAAGACTGAGGGCAGCACTGTAATCACTTTGACCTCTGACCCCCAAAGTGTTTGTCCTCCTCTGTACCAAATCCTCAAAAACCTGTGCTGCAGCCCAATTTGCTGCTCTGTGTCCCAGCACCTGAGAAGGCTCCAGAACACCTCTCAGACAGTACTGGGGGTGAGTTATTTGTCTTTTGTCTTGCAATAAATACATACAATATAACATTATACTGTATAACAGTTCTGCACCACACAGTGACCTGTTATTTGGTGTTGTACTGTACAGATGTTTGTGGTTCATGCTAGGTTTTCTTCTCCACAGACTCTGCAGATTATGGTTGGGCTGCTCAACATCGGCATTGGTGCGATCTTTGCTTTTCCTCCTATTTGGGATATGTCCGAGTTTTACTTTTGGTTGGGAGCATTGGTAAGCAAACCAATGCTTACATGGTTTTTTCTATTGTTATTTGTATCATAACCAAAGCCCAACAGTACGTTTCTTGGGTTGTCTACTTACCCCTAGATTCCACCGGGTCCGTCTGCGCCGCGTTGCGGTTTTGGTCCGGCCTCCTCCGGCGTCATACCCTACCAGGCGCGTTTCAGAAGCATTTCAGAAGCGGAGCGTCTTGCCTGCCGGCTCGCAGTTTTTGTTGATTTGGGCATATTTCCTGGACAGGCTACTTTGTACAGACAAAGTTAATAATAACTATAATATTCCAGTTATAAACGACATGAATCAAAGATGTGTTGCTGTATTTTAGTGGTAAAAAAATGCATTCATCATCATAATTATTCTATATATATAATTTACACAGTGCCTCTAAACCGGAGGAGAACGCTGGCATTTCTCCTCCTACTTGAAAGACTACGGAGGGATAGGGTCTGCACAATTAGTTTGTGTGTGTGTGTATATATCTATATATATATATGCTATATATGCTCTGAACGTTCCACTTCCTGCCTGCCCGACCTTACGTTACGGCTGCGCCGCGACAAAAATAGGATTCGATCCTAATTTTAGAGGAGCCCTGCGCCGAGCCGCTTCTGGGACGCTTCTGAGCCGTAACGCGCCGCGTGTGGTGGAATAGCACCCATTGACTAGAGTGGCCGCGATCGCCGTGAGCACCGCGGCGCAGCCGTAACGCGCCCGTAACGCGCCCGTAACGCGGACCCGGTGGAATCTAGGGGTAAGTCCTAAGGAGATTAACCTAAAGGCTTTTTTTTCAGATTCAGAATCAGATATCCGTCCAAGCACAAATTAATGGATCAGCTAAAACCAATCACTTCTGTACTGTGCTGTGTTTTGAATATATTACAGACTTCTGCCAAAACCAAAGTTTGTTTTTCTTAATTCTCTAGTTCTTCTTTAGTTCTCAAATGATAGAAAGCAGATCATTTATCTCCTATGTAGTAGCAGGCTGCACTCACACCCTGGCCAATGTAAACGCCAGATTGGGTATGACCTCCCTCTTGGTGCTACAAATGCTGTTCAGTTGAACCAATTAAAGACACTGGAAATTACTTGGCTGAATGTAAGTGTTTGCGTGGAAGAATGTAGTTAAAACATTATTGTTTCTGTCTCTAGTTCATGTTGTTTGGCATCGTTTCCATTTTGTCTGAGAAGTACCCCAGTCCATGTCTGGTGAGTATGTCAGCTTTTGTACATGGCACACGCACCATTTTGAGCATTTACACCTACATTGTCTTGGGGAGGGTATAATGTAGGAGCAGTGCCACCAAGCTGTTAAGTGGGAGAAAGTTGGAGGCTTTTGAACTTGATGAGCATTTTTGTCATGCTGTGTTTTTGTGTCTTTCATTCAAGGTCATCGTCAATGTGATTCTGAATCTTGCAGGAGTTGGTTTTGCCATTACAGCCATCACACTCTACAGCCTCAGAATGACACACATGTGGGTGTATTGGTTGTGTAAGGATAATAACAATCGATATTACTATCATCACTCACCCTCTTCTTCTGGGGAAAAGAGAATGGAGCAGAAATGCTTGAGAGTCAAGGACATGATGTTGGTGAGTGTGGAAAATGTCCTTATCCGGATGTTGTCTTAAAAGTTACCATGAATGATCACCATTTACAACTGTTTACAACAGGCTTCACTAATAATAAACTAATTAAGAAAAATCAGCGATGACAATTATTTGATTAATTAATTAGTCCTTTGACAAAAAAGAACTCACACATAAGTTTGATAATTAATCAATATATTTTTTTAGTAATATATCAAATGATAATGTCCAACATGAGCTGGTTTTAGCTTCTGAAATTAAAATTCTTCTTCTGAAAATTGTGATCACCGTTATTTGAGTTATATGGATATTATTGTGGTTTTCTGGTATTTTGTGCCCTGAGTAAATAACCAGACGTCCTGATGACTGGTGGTAATGCATCGTCTGTATGTTAATGGACGGAGAGTTAATGTTTTATATCTGTGCTAGATCAATAGGGGATTTTCAATATCATTAAAATCAATAAGAAGTCCCACAAAAAGCCACATTTGAAGGAAATTATGCAAGTTAGAACACAGTCTACAAATGTAATTATACTTGAATATAACAAGCAGATGTGATTTTAATCTTTAAAGAAAGCACTGCTTCTTGTGTCCCACCAGATGCTGCTGAGGAGCATGCACGGTCTGATGATTGTCCTCTCAACCCTGGAGCTCTGCCTCACCATCAGCTCCGCCGTCCTGGGGATCAAGGCTCTGAGGAGAAGGGGGAAGGACGAAAAGATGGTATGGTCTCCAAAATAACATCTTACTGTCAGAACTGTAAACATTTATATTCAATACAAAGACTCCTTTTCTTTATAAGTTGTTTAAATGTGGCCTTAAGGTTAGAGATTTGAGTATGTCTTAATGATATTATTTCCCTGGTAACCCCAAGGTCTAGCTAAACAAATCCTGCTTTCTGCTGTCAGTCACAGGTTTTATATTCAAACAGTGGACTGAAAGTGCTCTAATGATTTACTCAAACTCAGCTGGTCTTTTCGCTGCCAATCTTCTGGGTCGTTTCCTACACGTTTTGTTTAAAAAACGTTTGCGCTTATATTTTTGTATTTCAGATAATACGCTTTATATTGGTGTCTCTTTCTTCCGTGTACATGTTTTAAAGCTGTTGATTACAATTGCTATTGAATAAGGTACCTTACGTTTAGCTTGTTTGGAGGTAAAAGGGAGGTTTGTACGTGTGTGAAATACTGAAAGGGTTTTTCTTTGCTCTATTGCACTATTTAGTCATTTAAAAAAAGTAATGTAATCGAAACTGTTGACTGTCACAATAAAAACACTTGTTCTGTTTGTAGTTCTATTTCGTCCCTACTGACCGCCAGAGGCGGTGCTTTTAGCACTGGATATGTCCATCGTGCGCATGCGCAGTACGAGTACCAATAACAACAAAGTCACCTGTGACCCACGTGACACCGGCTATATCAGCCAGTGTCATCAGAGGATCTGTTCCTTTCATCTTCTCGCTGCGCGAGAGTACCGTGGCTACACTATTGTAGCCTACAGTGTTCAGTTGGAATGTTTTGATTTAAGGATTTCTCTGCATCCAGCTGGCTGCGTGTAGCTTCGCGACTGATCCAGTCGGAGCCGCGGGATTACCCGTCCTCCAGGAGCTGTGGCCGGCTGCGCAGAAAACTTCAATGGACAGGTTGGTGTCGGCTTGGTCGGTGACGGCAGTGTTTCCACTCCCTCTCCCAGCTAGGTTGTCCTGATTTCTGTCTTGGTTGCTACCTGGCTTGAACTTTCTGGTGACGGTAGCGTTTCCGCCCCCTCTCCCAGGAGTTGCCCTTGTTGCGCTCTCTGTACTTTTCTGATAGCGCGGCGTTGCGCCAAGCTATCATTAGCATCCTGAGTTCCAGCTTTTGTTGTGTCCTCTTGTTTAGCTAGTTAGCAGTAGCGCGGCTCAGCCTAACTGTGTCCTGCCTGGTCAGCCACTTTGGCTGACGCTTGAGGTAAGCACCGGATTACCCGTGCTGTTTTTTCTTTAGAAGCAGTTTCCTTAGCTTGTTTCGCTATTTTACTCAACCAGTGAAGGCAGTGTTTTCACCCCCGCTCCTGGTAAGAGTGTTCCTTGACTGTGAGCAGCAGCCGGCTGGCTAGCTGCCCTGTTAAGCTTCCTTATTTGGTAGCTCTGTGCTTCGTTTACTTAGCTAGGTGAAGGCAGTGCTCTCGCTCCCCGCTCCCTCTGCTAGTAGCTTTGCGCTTTCGTTTACTCAGCTAGGTGAAGGCAGTGCTCTCGCTCCCCGCTCCCTCTGCTGGTAGCTCCGTGCTTCGTTTACTCAGCTAGGTGAAGGCAGTGCTCTCGCTCCCCGCTCCCTCTGCTAGTAGCTTTGCACTTTCATTTACTTAGCTAGGTGAAGGCAGTGCTCTCGCTCCCCGCTCCCTCTGCTAAGTAACGCGGGTGTAGGACATTACACCCCTCTCGTGTTCGGCGAGTAGGAGCAGGGCTCTACTCCTTCCGTTCAGCAGGTAACTGGTGAAGGCTGTGTTCTTGCACCCCGCTCCCGGTTACGCTGCATCCGGCTACCTACATGATGGCTCATCCATGTAGCGCCTGTATGGCTTCTCTCGAGCCCGAGGATGGCCACGACTGCTGCCCCTCTTGCCTTGGTCTCGAGCATTTGAGGGAGGGTCTCACGCAGGACGCCTGCATGAACTGTAGCTGCATGCCTTGGGCGCTTAGAGCGGCCAGAGTCGCAGAGGTGGAGCGTCTGGCAGCAGCCAACGGACACCTCTCCTTGTCGCATCTTCCCCCAGGTCAGTTTGGCCGTTCCCGGCGACCCGAGGGAGCGATGGCTACGGGTTCGCCCCCCAACAGGCTGTCCTCTAAGGTGGATCGGTTAGCCGCTGACATGGACATGATGAAGTCGCTCCTCTTAGCCCTTCAACCAGGGGCCGGTATAGGGGCTGCTGGCTTGCCGCCTGCCCCTCCTTCGGTTGCCGCACCTCTGCATGAGGATGCCATGTCACTAGCGGCCTCGGCTAACCTCTTCAACGAAGAGATGGAGGACGAGGCCCCGCTCATTCCCGGGGAGGCTTCCCACTCCTCTGCTCAGGGCTCTCTGCAGGGCGTGGAGGACGCCTCCATGGCGGCCATTATTCGTGCGGCCCTGGCACACTTGCAGCTTCCTGTTCCGCAGGCCGACGCGGCTCAGGCTAGCGCCTTCTTCAGGCGTAGCCCTACCCCTGTCCCCCTCACTGTTCCTCCTTCGGAGGAGTACCTGAGGGAGCTCCATGCATGCTGGAGAGACACCAAGGCCCTCTCCCGCTTCAGCTCTGATGCCCGGACCCTGGCTGCCATGCAGGATCCGGCGAGGGTGGGGCTGGGTCGCATGCCACCCATCGAGCCTGCCATCGCCTCCCTGATTCTGGCTCCTGATGAGGCCCTAAGGCCTGATGCCAGGTGCCCTCTGCCTCAGTGCAGGGTCACTGACGAACTGCTCTGTAAGGCCTACAACGCAGCGGCACGCATGGGTCGTATCGGGAACTCTCTCTCCCATCTAATGCTGGCCGCCTCCGCCTCTCTGCAGCAGGCTCCGGCTGAGCCTTCTTTGCTGGGCCTCAGTGACGCTTCACTGCAGGCCTTTGCCCTAATGACTAGGGAATTGGGACGAGTTATGTCCCTACTGGTGCAGACTCGACGCCAGGTTTGGCTGGCTCAGTCACCACTAACGGAGACATGTAGGAGTGTCCTCCGCGGCGTGCCGGTCGAACCAGGGGAGCTGTTTGGAGCAGCTGCCCTGGCGGCACTAGAGCGTGCTGCCCAAGCTAGACAGACCAGGCAGCAGCTCTCGGGTCTACGTAGGCCTGTGCCTACTCCCAGCAGGCCCAGGGGCCCCTCTAGCAGCCGCACTCTGCCACTGGCTTTCAGTGGTGGTCTGCGGAGGTCCCAGCGGTCTACTCAACCGCCTCCTAATAACTTTCGTGCCCCTGGTCGCCAGCCCTCTAGGCAGCCCCGTGCCCCACAGCCTTACCGCCGCCCCCCAAGGGGTCGGGGGGCTAGGCCCTGAAGTCCCTGGGCCGGTCGTCGGCTGCTTTTCCCAGCAGCAGCTCAGCTACTGGGCTGCCTGTACTACCGACCCTTGGGTGGTTTCCACCCTAACCCAGGGATACGAATTGCAGTTTCGACGCCGGCCCCTAGCCTTCGGCCGGGTCAAGATGACAGTTGTCAGCGACCCGGCGAAGGCCTTAGCTCTGGCCCAAGAGCTGTCCGTCCTCTTGGCCAAGGGCGCAATCGAGCCAGTGGACCCCCTGCTTCAGTCCGGGGGGTTCTACTCAGCGTACTTTCTGGTGAGCAAGAAAGTCGGCGGATTTCGTCCAGTACTGGACCTCAGAGGAATCAACAGATTCCTGAGGGTGCTGCCCTTCCACATGCTGACCACAGCAGACACCCTCCGTGTTGTCACACAGGGGGAGTGGTTCACAACCGTGGACTTGAGGGACGCCTACTTCCACGTGCCGATTGCGTCCCACCACCGGAAGTTCCTGAGGTTTGCCTTTCAGGACCAGCATTATCAGTTCCGGGTACTTCCCTTCGGTCTCTCCCTCTCTCCAAGGGTGTTTACCAGGGTCGTGGCGGCAGCTCTCGCACCCCTGCAGGCACAGGGCATGAAGGTCCTGCCGTACCTAGACGACTGGCTGGTTTGTGCGCCGTCCCGGTCCCAAGTGGCCCAGGATACGGCGCACCTCTTATGTCACGTAGCCCGGTTGGGCCTGACAGTAAACACCGGGAAGAGCTGCCTGGTCCCCTCCCAACGGGTCACTTACCTGGGGTTGGTCCTAGATTCGGTCGCCATGAGGGCCTGCCTAACACCTCGTCGTGTGGACGACATTTCCCACCTTCTCCCCATCTTCAGGCCGGGCAAGAATGTGCCTTACATTCAGTTCCTCCGGCTCTTCGGCAGACTGCCTCAGCCGTTGTGCCCTTAGGTCTGCTGTCGCTGCGCCCTATGCAGATATGGCTGAACAGCCTTCACTTGGACGCCAAGTGGCACAGGCACAGGAGGGTCAGGGTGTCGCGCCAGTGCCTTCACTCTCTGTCACGCTGGAGAAACAGGGCCTATCTTCTGATGGGAGCGCCCATGGGCGCCATCCCATCCCGCCGGGAGACTGTCACTGTAGATGCATGTCTCTCAGGGTGGGGTGCGGTGTGGCAGGGCAGGACTGTTCAGGGTCTGTGGTCCGCCCAGGAAGGTGCATATCACATCAACGTGCTAGAGCTTCGCGCTGTGCTGCTTGCGCTCAGGCACTTCTTACCCCAACTGACGGACAGGCATGTGCTTGTTCGTTCGGACAACATGTCCGCGGTTTCCCAGATCAACCACTAGGGGGGCACCAGGTCCGCACAGCTGCTCCGGGTTTCACAGAGCCTCTTGTCTTGGGCGTCTCCCCGCTTGGCCAGCCTGCGGGCAGTCTTTCTACCAGGGGACCAAAATCAGGTGGCAGATTTCCTCTCTCGGCACAAACCTCCACCAGGGGAGTGGAGGCTTCACCCAGAAGTGGTGGAGACAATCTGGAGCCTTTTCGGCAGGGCCGAGGTGGACCTCTTTGCCTCGGAGGAGTCGAGGCACTGCCCCCTCTGGTTCTCCTGGGCAGAGGTGACCAGCCCAATGGGGCAGGACGCTCTGGCACACGACTGGCCAGACAGTCTCCTGTACGCCTTCCCGCCGCAGCCGCTGTTATTACAGACGCTTCAGAGGGTCCTTATTCAGGGGCACAGGCTCCTTCTGGTCGCCCCCCGCTGGCCGGGGAGAGTTTGGTTCCCGCTGCTACGCAGTCTCTGCTGCGGCCCACCATGGCGCCTCCCCGACAGGAAGGACCTTCTGTCACAGCTCAGGGGTGTGTCTCAGATCTGGCATCCCGACCCTCACCGCCTCCAGCTCTGGGCTTGGCCTCTGCGGGGCCCAACCCACTGTTGAGCGCTTTTTCGGCATCGGTCAGGGAAACTATCCTGAATGCCAGAGCACCATCCACTCGAGCACAGTACGAGTGCAAATGGAAGCTCTTCTCCCACTGGTGTTTGGGTAAGGCTGAGAATCCGGGGCATTGCTCTGTGGCCACCATTCTGGAGTTCCTGCAGTCCCTTCTGGATAGTGGACGTTCTCACTCCACTTTGAAGGTATATACGGCTGCTATCTCTGCCCAACATGTCGGGGTCGACGGCGCCACGGTGGGGCGCCACAGGTCGGTGTCCCTCTTCCTGAGAGGGGCCTTACGGCAGCGTCCCCCTAGTACCCCGAGGGCTCCGGCTTGGGACCTGCCCCTAGTGCTAGATGCCCTATCATCTCCTCCCTTCGAGCCCCTGGCCCAGGTGGGGCTTAAGTGGCTGTCCTTGAAGGCAGCATTTCTGCTTGCCATAACCTCAGGGAAGCGAGTTGGGGAGTTGCATGCCCTCTCCGTGAGCGATACATGCCTGAGGTGGAACTCCGATGGCTCGGGTGTTGCCCTTTGGCCGAATGTGGCGTTCCTGCCCAAGGTGCTTCCACTTGCCCACTCCAATCGGCCCATCCAGCTGGCACGCCCGAGTTGCTGTGCCCTGTGCGTGCCCTGAGAGCGTATGTCGATGCTACGGCCTGTGTACGGCAGTCAGAGCAGCTCTTCGTTTGTCATGGCGGCATTAGGAAGGGTTGTGCTCTCTCCAAGCAGCGGCTGTCCCACTGGGTTGTTGATACAATCGCACATGCCTATGGGGCCAGTGGCCGCCCCCTGCCATCAGGGGTGAGATGCCACTCTACAAGGAGCGTCTCAACGTCTTGGGCCGCCCTGAGAGGAGTGCCCCTGGAGACCATCTGCGCCGCGGCGTCTTGGGCGTCTTCTGGCACATTCTCCAGGTTCTACCGGGTCAATGTCGCCACTCCCCATCCTTTGGGCGTGGTCCTGTTGCCAAGCTCCGCTGCTTCCAGCTAGGTGAGTATTTGGTTTCTTCATGACATGGTTGGTATAAGTCATCCAGTGCTAAAAGCACCGCCTCTGGCGGTCAGTAGGGACGAAATAGAACGATAGTTACGTCTGTAACTACGGTTCTATGAGTCCCGGATGACCGCCAGAGTGTCCTGTCACTCAGAATTCTTGTGTGCTCGCGAGAAGATTCTGGGAACAGATCCTCTGATGACACTGGCTGATATAGCCGGTGTCACGTGGGTCACAGGTGACTTTGTTGTTATTGGTACTCGTACTGCGCATGCGCACAATGGACATATCCAGTGCTAAAAGCACCGCCTCTGGCGGTCATCCGGGACTCATAGAACCATAGTTACAGACGTAACTATCGTTTTATTGTGTGCTTTATATTAAACCCCTCTGAGATATTGAATGAGTTCAATACTGTGTTGTGTTATTTTAATACAAATAGGAAAGATAACTTAAGTGTGAGGTTAAGGAAGTATAATTTGAAAAGGTAATGATATTACTCTTAAAAGGAACCTTTTGAGCTAGTGCCACCTACTCTTTATTTATATTTAATTAATATGCCATTATTGCACCCTAAATGTAAATAATATCCCACTTTTATATTGTGTGAGCTGTAATTTAGCCCTTCAATAGTGTTTTATTTGTCAGATAGTTTACATATTCTTTCTTCACGGTCAACTTATATATTTTTACTCTTTAATATGCTATTTGGAGATGTTTATATTGCATAATTGTTTTATTTTTTACTATTTCTTTACAATTTGGGATTAATAAAGTATATCTTATTTTATCTCTAATAGGAAAATGTTAAAATTACACAGGTCACACTGCACTTTATTTCCCACTGTTTAATGCCATAATTAGAACTTAATGTTCCTCTTATAGTGAAAGCAAGGCTTATGAGGAACCAATCCATACGCTGATGGTGTCATTAATCTACCAATCAGGCGATCAAAGCAAAAAACATGTCTTGCTCCAGTTTAGATAATATGATTAAAGACAGTCTGCTCAGAGTTATAATCAAATCCAACCGGTAGAATATATGTAGAATATATGAACTGAACCATGGTAACTTTAAAGTCAAGTTTTGGAATATATCTTAATACTATCATTTGTATCTACACTTTACTTCTACTTCACTACAATACATTACATTCATCTGCAATTAAAGTCATTTAAAGTTGTTTTTTCTAATGAGGTTAGTGATGTTAAAAATAAAGACAATAAAATAATTAAGCAGCTGAACCAAGCCACTGAAGCTTGTGGGGGTGATAATGCTATTTTGACTGACAGTACTGGCACAGGCTTTGGTAATTTCTGGGGAATGTTTCTGACTCCAAAGTGAGTCGCTGAAAAGGTAAACCCATGGCTCAATCAATACCTGAGACAGTTTTACCCAAATCAGCCCATACCATGCTTTGGTATTATTGCCATGGACTTCCCCGGCATTGACCTCATTCAAACTGTTATCAATTTAAACTATTGGTGATAATGCAATGCACCACATGAGCTCGAGTGGGCTTATATCTGATGATTCACTGATGACTTTCATTCTTTCCCTTCACTGTACACATTCTTATGTAACCGAATAACTGGAAATACATAAAGCAAGCTGATTGCATCTTGTGACCATAATTATGACAAAAATAAATACAATTATATTGCTTTCTCATTGATCTGAAGCTTGTGTTGCTTATTGATGTTATTTCACCAAACTACTGCAATAGTGTCTTCATTTGTTTCTTATGGGTCCAGCGTTGAAATAAGGATAGGTAAAAGTACAAATACTTAAATGTCAAAATCAATCTACCTTTATAGGTAAAAGTATCACGTGCAAAAGCTTAGTTAGGTGTTTGTTTGATTGTTTCAATTCCTTCATATATAAACTGTGTTTATGCCACAAAATAATAACCTACTACTTAATACAAAATATTGTCCTACATTTAGATAATTACATAGTCAGATAAACAATATGTAATATACAGTATATTAGCAGGTCAATTAACAAATACAAAATTGTTTTAAGTCATAGAAGTAGCATATCAATGAAAATCACGCCCAGTATCTTTGTGTGCAGATTGATGATCAGTAAAGGGTTACATTTTTTTCCTGGGAAGGGCGGTACTTCTGGGAACTCTCTCTCGCTCTTCCCCGTTCCCAAATAATAACTGCGCAACAACCAGACACATTTCTTCAGGTAGAAAGAACTCGCTAGATTTGTAACCATAAAAGCAGGTAAGGGCTTATGTCATGTTTGATTTAGTATCAAACTAATTTAGTAATATTAAACCTATTTAAATGATATCCAATCGTTATTATGTATATGGCTGCCTGTACTGCAAAACAAGTAAACCCTTACATTTACAACAATAGGTGCACATCAAGTGTGTAAATGATTAATATTTCACGGTTAAATCTCTCCGGAAAATGTGAATTTCTCGGCAACATCTCATCAGAGAAAACAGAGAAAACATACGTATGTCAATCCGGAAGTGAACAAAACAAATAAGACGCAATCTGATGGAGTGAGGGAGATTTCTTATTAAAATGAATACAACTTTATTACTTTTGTCTTCATTTAGGGACTGAACGCCTCAGTGTGGCAAACCGTGTCTCGAAGCATACCTACAATAAATCACATTAAACTAATTTATGTTTTAAAAACAAATAAAGTAGCAGGCTTCGCTCCGTTCTTTTATCGAAGCCCATTTCCGCATAAGGCCTTTTAAGGCTAACGGGAAAATGGTAAGAAAAAAAGTAAGACTTGTAAAGGAAAACATTCTCTGTAAGGTTTTAAAAGGACACACTTTATATACAAAAATAAAGACGTAGCCTAGTGTTTAAAACATAATGACTACGTTTCTGAAAATAAAGGCTTAGTAGCCTATATCTTTCTGTATTATCTATAGGACTAAAGAAATTAGTATACAGATAAATCTAGCATAAACCATCTCTTCTGCTTTTGAGATTAATGTATTTAAATACTAAATTGTTTAATAAATACATAATAGCCTACTAAAATAAAAGGATCTAGAAATAATGAAATAATATCTCAAAATAGCTAACGCAGGTTCTCAACATAATGACATAGTTTCTCAATATAATGAAAAGCATTCTCATAATAATGACACTTCAACTTTATGATAAGTTCTCTCTAAGTAAGTCTCTAAGATTACATAGGCTTATTATCATCACTTATCACTTCCTCAAACTCAATCACTTCCTCAAACTCATTGTTACATCTTTGAAGGAATTCGATTCACAAAATGTCTCAAAAGGAAAACAATAAACCTGTTTTCCCTTTATTTTCTGTATTATATATATATATATTACTATAAAAGTTCATTATTTACGCCCTATAGTGGTAGCTGCTCTGTTCATAGTACAGTTTAGCAGCCCCATTTACAAAAGCAAGGGTTTTTAGAAACCTGATAGATAGTATCAGAAACCACTCCTGGGTTTACAGCCAAAATGGCAATTTCACAAAACTGTGGCTGAGAAAAAAACGTAATACAGCAAATTAAAAGGTCTCTCTTGTTTCTTTCAGTCTACAGGAGCAGGCAGGATGGCTCTCACAATCTCCAAGACTGAGAGCAGCACTGTAATCACTTTGACCTCTGACCCCCAAAGTGTTTGTCCTCCTCTGTACCAAATCCTCAAAAACCTGTGCTGCAGCCCAATTTGCTGCTCTGTGTCCCAGCACCTGAGGAGGCTCCAGAACACCTCTCAGACAGTACTGGGGGTGAGTTATTTGTCGTTTGTCTTACAATAAATACATACAATATAACATTATACTGCATAACAGTTCTGCACCACACAGTGACCTGTTATTTGCTGTTGTACTGTACAGATGTTTGTGGTTCATGCTAGGTTTTCTTCTCCACAGACTCTGCAGATTATGGTTGGGCTGCTCAACATCGGCATTGGTGCGATCTTTGCTTTTACTCCCATTTGGGATATATTCGGGTTTTCCTTTTGGGTGGGAGCATTGGTAAGCAAACCAATGCTTACATGGTTTTTTCTATTGTTATTGTTATCATAACCAAAGCCCAACAGTACGTTTCTTACAAAATGTAATAAAATAAAATGTATTTTTGTTGGGTTGCCTACTTAGTCCTAAGGAGATTAACCTCAAGGCTTTTTTTTCTGATTCAGAATCAGATATCCGTCCAAGCACAAATGAATGGCTCAGCTAAAACCAATCACTTCTGTACTGTGCTGTGTTTTGAATATATTACAGACTTCTGCCAAAACCAAAGTGTCATTTTCTTAATTCTCTAGTTCTTCTTTAGTATCTCCTATGTAGTAGCAGGTTGCACTCACACCCAGGCCAATAGGCGCTTTCACACCGCAGTACTTTTCCCACAAAGGTTCATGAGAACTTAGTTAATCAGAACTCTTTAGTTCTCATGAACTAAGTACAGATTGCGTTCACACCGGAATAAGTCCCTGGGGGAGGATTAGGCAAATGAAGCAGCTGACGTCACTTCTTCTTCTTCTGCTTTGGGTTTACTGGCAGGCCGCAAACAACTCCACGGCGTATACTGCCGCCCAAAGTCCCCGGCCGGAAGTCCCCGGAGTTAGGGACTGGCTTCAGTAGAAGCTGCTGGGACTCCCAGCAGCTTCTACCGAGTAAATCGCCAGAACGCCGACACCTCCTCATCTCCACCGCTCCCATGTTTTCTTTTGTGTTGCCATAAGTTAGTCTCTCTGCGTTTCTGCGCTGGGCTAATGCTAATGCTAATAATGCTAATGCGAGGATAATAAAATTGCGGCTTCACAACACTTTTTGGGAGTTTTACGGGGCGTGGTTTGCAATCTGCCCAGCCAATCAGACATAGGAACCTTTTTCTCCCACGAAGCAGGGATGGGAAAAGGGGGTAAAAAAGGTTCTGATGAACTAATTTTAGTTCCGGCTCTTTTTGGTGTGAACGCGACATTTCGGAACTATATCGGAACTAAAGTGGGAAAAGTACTGCGGTGTGAAAGCGCCTTGTGTAAACGCCAGATGACCTCCCTCTTGGTGCTAAAAATGCTGTTGAACCAATTAAAGACACTGGAAATTACTTGGCTGAATTTAAGTGTTTGCGTGGAAGAATGTAGTTAAAACATTCTTGTTTCCGTCTCTAGTTCATGTTGTTTGGCATCGTCTCCATTTTGTCTGAGAAGTACCCCAGTCCATGTCTGGTGAGTATGTCAGCTTTTGTACTTGGCACACGCACCATTTTGAGCATTTACACCTACATTGTCTTGGGGAGGGCATAATGTAGGAGCAGTGCCACCAAGCTGTTAAGTGGGAGAAAGTTGGAGGCTTTTGAACTTGATGAGCATTTTTGTCATGCTGTGTTTTTGTGTCTTTCATTCAAGGTCATCGTCAATATGATTCTGAATTTTGCAGGAGTTGGTTTTGCCATTGCAGCCATCTTACTCTACGACCTCAGAATGACCTACATGGGGCTGTATTGGTTGTGTGAGGATGATAACAATCAAAATTACTATCATCTCTCACCCACTGCCTCTTCTGGGGATGAGAGATGGGAGCAGAAATGCTTGGAAACCAAGGACATGATGTTGGTGAGTGTGGAAAATGTCCTTATCCGGATGTTGTCTTAAAAGTTACCATGAATGATCACCATTTACAACTGTTTACAACAGGCTTCACTAAGAATAAACTAATTAAGAAAAATCAGTGATGACAATTATTTGATGAATTAATTAGTCCTTTGACAAAAAAGAACTCACCCATAAGTTTGATAATTAATAAATATATTTTTTTAGTAATAATTACATCAAATGATAATGTCCAACATGAGCTGGTTTTAGCTTCTGAAATTAAAATTCTTCTTCTGAAAATTGTGATCACCGTTATTTGAGAGTTATATGGATATTATTGTGGTTTTCTGGTATTTTGTGCCCTGAGTAAATAACCAGACGTCCTGATGACTGGTGGTAATGCATCGTCTGTATGTTAATGGGTGGAGAGTTAATGTTTTATATCTGTGCTAGATCAATAGGGGATTTTCAACATCATTAAAATCAATAAGAAGTCCCACAAAAAGCCACATTTGAACGAAATTGTGCAAGTTAGAACACAGTCTACAAATGTAATTATACTTGAATATAACAAGCAGATGTGATTTGAATCTTTAAAGAAAGCACTGCTTCTTGTGTCCCACCAGATGCTGCTGAGGAGCATGCACGGTCTGCTGATTGTCCTCTCAGCCCTGGAGCTCTGCCTCAACATCAGCTCCGTCGGCCTGGGGATCAAGGCTCTGATGAGAAGGGGGAAGGACGTAAAGATGGTATGGTCTCCAAAATAACATCTTACTGTCAGAACTGAAAACATTTATATTCAATAGAAAGACTCCTTTTCTTTATAAGTTGTTTAAATGTGGCCTTAAGGTTAGAGATTTGAGTATGTCTTAATGATATTATTTTTCTTTTTTTACAAGAATGAGGAACCTGAATACTACAAGCCCCTGCTGGACGAAGTCCCTGGTAACCCTGAGGTCTAGCAAAAATAAATCCAGCTTTCTGCTGTCAGTCACAGGTTTTATAATCAAACAGTGGACTGAATGTGCTCTAATGATTTACTCAAACTCAGCTGGTCCTTTCGCTGCCAATCTTCTAGGTCGTTTCCTACATGTTTTGTTTAAAAAACGTTTGCACTTATTTTTTTGTATTTCAGATAATACGCTTTATATTGGTGTCTCTTTCTTCCGTGTAAATGTTTTAAAGCTGTTGATTACAATTTCTATTGAATAAGGTACCTTACGTTTAGCTTGTTTGGAGGTAAAAGGGAGGTTTGTGCGTGTGTGAAATACTGAAAGGGTTTTTCTTTGCTCTATTGCACTATTTAGTCATTTAAAAAAACAATGTAATCGAAACTGTTGACTGTCACAATAAAAACACAGTTTGTTGACAAATAAAGCACAGTTATTACCAAGCGACGCGTCTCAGCCATGGTCTCAGCCCTATGGTCTCAGCCCAACCTGTGACTACACGGTTTGCCAGTAGGTGGTGGTAATTCTCTTAAAGTCACATTCCTGAACTTTGCCTCCTGGGTGTTTGATTCACTGTTTTATTGTTTTGAAAAGGGAGCAGGGATTACAGTGCCATTGAACTAACATCCCATCTGACTTTATGTAAATGATGTTGAAAATATTGGTCTGAATCCCATAAAAAGGCATTAGATAAGGAAATAATAAATACCAATGCAGCATTTGTGATAGGCAAAAACAAACAACAAACAACATTTTTCACATATGTTTCCCTAATTCCAGACTTTAAACTGAGGGGAAAAGCTTGGGTAAAATGGGGGGAAAGTTGGAGGAGACAAAGCATGAACAGTAATCAAATACAAATATTATCATAGGGAATTCCTGCTGCTTATTCAATAAATGCACCACAGGAAGTGGACCAGATGCTTTGCATATTATCTTTGTTTTACTTTCTTAATTCCTTAGTATTTCTATTACACTTGTTTGTATTTCCACATCATTTCTTTTTTTACAGATCTGGTCCAAGACTGATTTTCACCAAGTTATTCTAAATGTATTGAGAGATACAGTATCAAGCTGAAAGAGCTCTTTAATCACCGTCTAAGTGACTTCATTGGATATTTTGCTTTTGTTCAGTCAGACAAGCTTTCTTTTAAAATAATACAATCCCTGACTTTGTAATGGCGCTGTAATGTAATGTAATCCAAGTTTGCTCAAATATAACTCTTTAAAACGTTGTTTATTTTTTTAAATGGCAACACGGAGCTGAGAGGAAATTGTGGGATTCCTGGAAGCTGGAAACTGTATACAACCAGAATATTTAACTTGTCTTTCACCTACTGACACACAAGACAATGTAAGCCACTTTTTCATGCAGACTTATGGCGCGTTTCCACTACAGCACGGAGCACGGTTTAAGAGGGCTGTGACGTCAGCGGCCCGTTTTTGGTTGCGTTTCCACTTGGCCTAGTACCGGCCGGCGGGTCCTAATTCACAGTTTTTCTGGCCTCATAAAATCGTGGGTCTAGTCTCAGAACAATAGCTTTATTCTTGGAAGCTGTAGACACACAAACATGTGAGCATGACGGATGCACCTGTCCTATTTTCATGCCGCCAACACGATACTGTTTCTAATGTAAATTGCAGCAGGTGCCTCGAAAGTACCTGTTGATTCATGTTGAATTCCTGTTGCACAACACATAGAGTGGCTTAAGGCACAGCCACAGGTATGTCTATGTTTTTTCATGTATTATAAATCCTGAATGATGAGGTGTAATATGTCTACGTAATGTGTTTAAAGGTGTAGTACCTTGTGCCAATATCAAGGATTGATATCACTCATAAATTAGCAGGAACATTTTACAATGTAGCTCACTTATTACCACCCCTTAGATGCCCTTGAGCAGACTCATAACCCTCCAACTTTCTCACTTCAAAGTTCATGTGAAATTCATGTTTGATACAGGAAATACAATCTTCTCATGGGAAATAGCACACCGTATCTTACATATATACTGTTCAAATATCTCACATGTGAATTCATCATGTGAGAAAGGCTTTTTCACATAACATAATACAAGTAAAATTCTCCTTTTCACATGACATTTCTTATATACAAATCTGCCAACACGATGTTAAGTTGTCATGTGTGAAATGTACAAAAACTAAATGCCTATATGTGAATATTTTACGTGAAATGGTCTTGAATAAACACGTGATAGAAATGATCAAAAAGAGCGATACTTCTCATAAAATAACAGAAGTAGGCTACTGGTTAAGAGCAATATGTTATAACTGTTGGCAACATTACTGCAACACAACTGTGGGATCAGCTGCTCTTCTAAAGTCAAAGGTTTTCTTTTTGTAAACTTTTGGTATGCTGCATAATAGGCGAGAAACCAGTCAAGAGTTATTGTAAATACTAAAGAGGTGGAGATGATTGCTTGAAGCTTTGCATAATTTGTGCTGGTTTGTAATTCTATATCACAACAACAGACATTGGAGTAAATGTTCATGCAATGTTAAAAAAGGAAAGAGGTAGCCTATGAAAGGATCTTAAAGACGCCTCAGGTTACATTTTGAAAACAATACCAGACGTTTGATACCCCTTTAATGCTACATAGAAGCATTCTGTGACACGTAGATAGCAGTGCCACATAAGCTTGTTGGGTCTTGCCCAGATGCTGGTATGTGAGGAGAGAGGATCACAGTAGCAAGGGTGAGGAAGGGGGCCACAAGTGAAAACATGGTGTTTGATGACAGAGGCTATAGAGCAAGAGGTTTGTGTTTTTTTTGCACAACCATCTTCCTGGTTCTCATAGTTGATACAGAAGCCAAAGTCATAATATGTTCATAATTAAAGAATTGCCACCAATCAATAACATTAAACCTGAATTTATTGATTTCTGGCCACATGGGGGCAGCACATCAAACACACACACGTTATCGCCTAAAAACCCCTAAAAAGAGCAGAAAAACGCTAACATGCTCCATAGGGCTGCGGAAAAGTGCAAACTCATGTGATCCAATATGAAAGAGCCCTTTTCACTTTGTGAAGAGACACTTGAAGTGTAGACAGTTTACACACAAAAAAAAGTATAATCACTGTGTCATCCAGCATAGTGCTGCATAGTTATTGCTTCTCTCAAACAATTAGTTAAAGGTGGGGTAGGTAAGTTTGAGAAACCGGCTCGAGATCGCTAGAATTTGAAAATACACAACCGGAGAAAATCTGCCACTTCCTTACAGAGCCCCTCCTCCAACACACACGAACGCGCACATGACCAATGAGGGCACGAGATAAGTTTGTGCACAGATGGAAGGCTGACAGGCAGGTAGGCCATCCAGTTATTTTAGCCGGGCCGGCTAAAATGATTGGTCGTGCTTTTTACAGTATTATGGCTTCCACAGATGACATTTTTTTATGGATTTTTTGTCAAAGCACTTAAGATATTCATTGCTATCGGGATGTTAAGAGCATTCCATAGAATATAACAAAAAGTGTATCTCGAGCCGGTTTCTCAAACTTACCTACCCCACCTTTAATCAAATCAGCTTTACATTTTTGGGCTGTCAGAAGTAGCATTATCCACTTAAGCTAAAAACTAAGCTATACTGGTACAAGATAATACAACTAATAAAACAATTATGTTCAGGTTCAGGTTATTTATACGTAGGTAGATTTGGTTTGCAGTTGAGAGAGATTATCCATTGTGACACACATTTTAAAACATTACATGGTAACTGCATTTATTGTTCAATCATGTCTTTTAAAGTTAAATAATGTTCATGTGGATAGTTATGTAAACTGTAATCCCTGTAATGATACTGTATGATGTCCTTTTGTTGTTCTGTTTATGTTTTAATGTTTTCATGTGGAACCTACTTGAGCAGGTCCCCCTTGAAAAAGAGGTCAATGATCTCAATGGGATACAACCTGGATAAATAAAAGTTTGAAATGAAATAATGAATCCCAACCCTTCTACTGCTAGACAATTTAAGTTAACATGTAGTTTACAGCAGCTGAACCGCAAAGTAGGCTTTCAAAGAGGATCAAAGCTTCAAACCTTCAAGCTCTACGTGGGAGCATATTAGTGACTAAGTTAATTTGGTTTTCTCTGAAGTCCCCTTCACCTTGTTCAGCATCAACACACTATGTCCAGGGGCGGACTGGCCATCTGTAGAATCTGGAGAACCACAGAACGGCCGGTCGTCAAGGGCTGTTGACGGCCGGCCGGCCCTTTACATTTTTTTTTGTTTCAAGTCATCATTTAAGTTGCGCTTACGGCCGACAGAGGGCGACAGCGGCCGCTAATGCAGTTGTGTGGTTCTTATTTGTCAAATAATCACACACGAAGAAGAAAAAAGACCGGCCACACGAAGGCCCTCGCGGAGGGTCCGCCACATTTAAGTACTGTTCCAAACCAACTAGTGTGGAGCGGTGTGGAGGGGGAGTGGGTTATCAAGCCCTCAAACAGCGAGTCTGCAGCGGTGCTGACTGGAGACCGGTCTCTACCTGACCGGAGTCACGCTGTGTGTGTCCGTCAGGTAACACGCTGTTTACAAACAGTTCCAGCAAACATCCACTGATAAACTCGCAGGTGATGCATATAAATGATGCATATAAATGTCGCAAATTGACAGACCTTTTTGGCAGCAGCGCTGCTACAAGCACTATCAGCAGCAGCTTAGAACAAGTGCAAGATGATGAAGAGAATGATGAGGGCGCGAGTTCAGATATACAGCCAGCCTCCTGCGTTCATGATGAGGGACAGAGTTGAGCTGGTGGAAGAACCAGCTCAACTGGCACATACAAGTGCAGGGCAAGAGGTGGGTGAGAATTATCCCTTGAACTCAGTGGCGTTTTCTCCTGGAGGCCAAGGGAAGCCAGGCTTCCCCTGTTTTTTTGGATTGTAGTTATAATTTTAATAAATAAATAAAAACACTTCGTTTAGTTTCGGTAAATATTCTGCCGGTCCATCTCTCCCCCATTCTCATTGAGTATTTTACAAAGAGTGAAACAGCGCCCCTCTAGATGTTATGGTGAAACAGTAGATTGCACTCTGTTGCGAGAGGAGGCTAGCCGAAATTGGCTTCCCTTGGTGAAAAGAAATTGAGGGATTGACCAATCAGATGAGGCTCACGTCATGCCTCACAATCAAATCAAATCGCATCAACTTCAGTTCGTACTGTAACTGTCATCACCGCCCTTAAAAAGTAGCAAGCAACTGAAGCAAGTGCAATTATGGAGGGTGGAGATTTGGATTATTTCATAAAAAATAATTTTACTAAACTTCCGCTACTACAGCAGCAACTCAAAATGAAATCTGATGACAGGCCAATGCCCAAACTGGAGCTGTGTACAGAGAGGAAAAAAGGAGCGAATCGGACGTAAAACTTTAAATAATAAACAGCGGATTTCTAACATTTCATGTGGCCGGACTGGG